TATAAAATCCCATCTTAGACCCAGATGCACTGTGTCACAATGCGTGTCAAATCTTGTTCGTTCGAAGTCTAGAGCATGAATTTCTGACATCCTTGCCGCTGTAGCTAAGGCTACGAGGAACAGTGTTTTATGAGTTAATTTCTCATATGATGTCCTTTCTAGTGGTTTGTAATCTTCGCTGGTAAGATGTTGTAGAACCACGTTGAGATCCCAAGCGGGCGCCTTGAATTTTCTTTGTTGGTCTTCCAACTTGAATGAGCGTAGTAGTGCCAGTATCTCTGGTACTTTTGTCAGTTTTATACCCGTCTTCATTGTGATAACTGAGCTCAAGGCCGCTAGGTATGTAGAGAGTGTAGATCCGTTCAATCGTTTTGTCTGTCTAAGATGACAAAGGTATTCCGCCACTTGAGGATGTGTTGCTTCTATTGCAGTGAAGCCTTTATTCCGGGCGTATTTCTCAAAACTTTGTCACTTGTCATCATACAAGTTACGGGTTGATCTGCGTAAGGCTAAAGTTTCTGCTTTGGCCGCTCTGGTGGAATATCCTCTTTTCCTCAAGCAAGTCGTGATACGCTCCATGTGTGTAGTTGAAACATAGTTGGGTTTCTGTGTGCTTGCTTGGTGTGTGGATGAATCAGTAGATTTGGCCACTTTGGAAGTTGTAGGATTGGATTTCCTATATCTTGTATGAGGTTGGGGAACCACTCTGGCCAGTAAGGCACGACCAAAATCAGTTGTAACTTGTTCGTCATTTTGATTTTCTGTAATACCCTCAGTATTAGTGCCGGTGGAGGGAACGCGTACGCATTTAGTCCTTCTCACGATATGCTCAAGACGTCCGTTGCCCATGCTTGAGGATCTGGGACCGGAGAGACGAATGTTGGTAGTTGTTTGTTGAACTTGGTTGCGAACAAATCTACCAGTGGGGATCCTATTGTCCGAATGATGTCCTTGAATGCCTCTGGGTGTAGCATCCATTCCGTGGTGACGGATTCATAGGACAGGATAGGGCGTCTGCTATCACATTTCTGGCTCCGGGAATGAGTGACGCTTTTATGTCGATGTTCAGGTTGTCTACTATGCTGAATAGTTGAAAGCTGAGGTCCAACATGCTTCTTGACCTTGTTGACCCTTGTTTGTTGGTGTAGAACGCCACTATGGAGTTGTCCGTATGGATCATCAGTTGAGCGTTCCTTAGTATGCTGGACCAGTGTAGTAAGGCGTTTATGACTGCTTTCAACTCTAGCATGTTGATGTGTAGCTTCTGCTCCTGATTCGACCACTTTCCCGATGCCACTTTGTTGTTTAAGTGTGCTCCCCATCCTTGGTGGGATGCATCTGCGTAGAGATGTGTGTTGGATCCCGGCTCTGCTAAGTAGGTTCCTGCGCAGACATTCGACTTCTGTGTCCACCATAATAGGTATGGTTTCAGCTCGGTATTCCAAACGGTAGTACCCTCCACTGGTAGTGACGTCCGTTGAACAGGAATCGTAGGTACTTCCTTGAGTCCTGATGTATTGGGATGTGAAGATACGCATCCTGTAGATCTATGCTGGCTAGATAATCTGACGGATGGATAATCTGTCTGAGTTTTGGAAGATGTACCATTTTGAATCTTGCGGGCTTTCTTAGATAATCCTGGTTGAACTTTTTCATGTTGTAAATCAGTCGGAACTTTTCCTTGGAGTTTTTCTTTGGGACCAGAAAAATCGGGGAGTAGAAACCTGGTGTGACGATTTGTATTTCTTCGATTGCCTTCTTGTCGAGTAGAGTCGTAATGGCATCGAGTAGTTTCTCCTTCTGATCGGTAGCATAGTTGTACATCTGAGGAGTGCTTGTTAAAGGTGGAACCACTTGCAGTTCTATCTTGTAACCTCTGTGTAGTATCTGGGATACATAATCGTCTTGTCGAATTCCCCAATTCTTCCAGTAAAGTTGCAGGCGTCCACCCACTGGTGAGGGTTGTATGGGAATGGCTGGGGGTGGAAGACTCCAGTCGTTCCGACCCTGTCCATCAACGTCTAAAGTTCCTGGCACCTCTGAATCCTCTGCCTCTTCCGGGGTTACCTCTAGGAGCTCCGTGGGGCTTAATTTAAAAGAATCCTTATATCCCTTGGAAGTGCCGTATTTCTTGTCTCTAGCTCTCTGTATCCCTGCAAATTTAGATTTGCCAGAGTAGCGCTGTGATGTCTGTCTGATAATGGTGGCCAGTGTATCGATGGACTTGATCATCATCACTTCTCTGGACTCCTTCGTAACTTCTTTAGCCACGTCCTCAATTTCTCCTGCGAAGATATTCGTTGCTGCCCATGGAGCTCTAAATAGTGCTTTGGTAAACTTCTCACTCCATTTACAGGCTGATAATAGACCTTGTCTTCGTAGCAGTGTTAATCCCGCCGATGTAGACGCTAGGTGTTCTGACATGAACTGTTGGTCTTTCTTTTGGGTTAATAAGGCTGAGTAGATCATCCGATCTTCTTCAGATGTAGAGTTTGCAAACTTCGCAATTAGGGTTTCGTTGATGGCCCTTGACCTGGCTAATCCGAAGAAGAAGGTACGTCTAGTGGTTGTGTCTAGTTGCGCTAGCTTCTTGTCCTCCACTTTATAAGTCCTGACGCGAGCGTCATTAATGAGTTTATAGTTTTCATCTACTTCTTGGGCCTTATGAATGGTTCCATATTGTGTAGTGAAAATCTCTTAGCATTAAACGGTGGACTGCTTTGACTCTGATACTTCGTTGCCTTCTTGAAGGCTGAGCTGAGGTTGTGTGGGACGTCCAGTACCGGATCTATGGGTGGCAGTGTTAGCGTGTCACAATCGTTGTTAGACATCATGTACGTGTAGGCTTCATTATTCTCCTCAGATGGTGATGCAAGCTCCAGACCATTAGCCATCCATGATTTGATCTCTGTATCTGAAAAGATAACTCCTCCATCATCCTCCGGTTTCGATGTGTCTCGTTCCGAAGGTCGTTGCTGTTGGTCCTGATCTCTAGGTGGAGATCTATGTGTAAGCCTGCGTGTAGGCACTCGTGAATGCCTAATTGGAGATGTTCTAGGTGATCTGTATCTGCGTGGTGATGACCATGAAGATCTTGTCGAGGATCTGCGCGATGGTGACCTGTCTCTGTAAGTTGTATGCCTTCGTGAAGGCGTATAATCTCTTCTGCGTGGTGAACGAGTAGACCTCTGGTGCTTGTCTGAGTCCGAGGATGAAGATGATCTGCGATGCCTTCGCGAATGCTCCTCGTCTGTAGCAGGCGTTCTTTCTTGGTTGTTGGTTCCAAGAGTGTCTTCACCAGTGGTCCTTCTGCGAATGCCCTCGCGAGATTCGTCACGATCGTTGTTGTCATCCTGGGCGTTCCCTTCACGAACGTTTCCTTCACGCAGGTTGCGTCCTTCATCCCGCTGAGGTGTAGACGATGTTCGTCCTCCTTGCAGATTCGTCTGCTTCTCTGCAGTCTTCTCCTGAGTGAACCTACGTTCCATCAGGTCCATCATCTGCTGGGTAAACTGCTGCATAAAGATGCCCGGGGTCGAAGGTCTGCACTGATAACTGCTGTTGCTGTACAGATGACGCCGCATCTGATAATGTTGAGGTGTCATCTAAGGACTGCCTGTCCTCTCTGGTAGTTGCAGTCTGCGCAGATAGGCCGTCTGACTGCATTGATATAGTTGCAGACGTCGGTGTAGAAGAAGACCTCGTCTTCTTCCTGGTCGGTACTTCAGGGATGAGGATCGGCTGCTCATCGTACACGTCTGCTTCGTCCGATGGGTTGATATCTGAGGCGAAGGATCTCGACTTCTTTGCTGCCCCCATTGACGACTTGACTGTAGACTTGTCTGAAGACATCTTAGTCTTCGCAGCAGACGACGTCCTGGTCTTCTTAGACTGCAACGAGGATTGTTGAGTCGAAGACGATCTTTTCCTAAGGCCGGAACCCTCAATTCTCTGCTCAGCAGACGTCACCGGCAGCACACTGGAATGGTGTACCTCGACAGACAACAACCAACGGTTATTAGCACATTCACCCTGTTGAGACATGACTAATAACTGTCGTCTCAATTTGTCCTTGGCGCGTCTATGAACAGAATATAAATAATTACAAAATTCAATTTGAGATAAATGCTGACAAAGTTTACAGCGGGGGCTGGAAGAACATATAGAAGTGCAGTTAGGACAAAGTAAATGCGGATCAGCAGCCGACAATCGAAACCTGCAAGAAATGCAAGTCTTCATGAAATGTAAACAAGTTGAGACATGTTGTCAACAACGTGAAAAACGGACAAATTTAGAATAAATTTCAAACCATATTGCTGGTAAATCCTTGATAAAACCCTTATACAGCCTAATTTAGTATAACAGCCTAAAATTCAAAGGATATATGCCGTATAGGGGACTCAGGCGCTCTCACAACCGTCCACTAGGGAGAAGAAGGAGAGAGAGTGAACAAGCATGGCCGATCATGTGACCTTTTCGCGCCAAAAGATGGTTTCAAGGGTGGCAACTGGGGTGAGTGATTTTACGTCCACTTTTTTTAAGGGAGCTTCAAAAGGGGATTCAAGTGTTCCAAAATAGTTCACAAGAAGAAGAAGACAAGCAATTAAGCATGAGTCAGGATAAGGAAAAATTATATGTTACATCCATTTGGCTTCCAATATGTGGTGTAATTGTTTGATCAGCTTTCTAGAAGTTGGCGAGTCAATAATGTAGCATGAGACTTTATGGATAATGACTTGTTGAACAATGGTGTAACAATCTACACAGAAATGTTGCTCCATGTAATAAACAAGAAGTTGTTAGCATAAAGTCATATGCTTCATTTTTGGCATTTTGTGTTTGGGTATTTTCGAGAGTATTTGACACAATTATATATAAGGTGTGGCAGTGAGATGGATGGTCAAATTGGGGCTGCTTGATAGACTACCAATATGACTACCAATACTACTATGAATATGGTTCTAGTTTCTGTTTGTAACCAGGATACACTTGAGACTTACAAACACACGGACAGTCTCCTGCTGCACATGCTTCTTGATCTCCTCCTCCCACTGGTGGCAGATGGAAAATGGGGAGATGATCAGAGTAGCAACTGATGGGACTGGGGACTGAAATAGATGTCACACATCACATTACTGTCAGAAAGTATAGGATTCTGGAAGTGTATTTTATGTGAAAAAAAAATTATCACCAATAACCAACATAACTGTAATTAAACATTGTTTGTGCCAAACAAAGGCCACGAGTAATCCGAACATGTACACTGCATTTATCACTAATAATCAACATGAGAATATCATATCCTTTGATCAAAGTGTGAACAGTCATTTACTTACTGATGACACATGGCAGTGCGGGCACTTATAGCATCCCTGGTAGGTATTGTGGGGATCATAGTGCAGACACTGTGCATGCTGCCACAGGCCACAGACAACACACTGCACATTGGTCAGTTTCTTTTTCTTGCTTCCTTTGTCATGTGCATCACCTCCACAAACACATTCAAACCACTGTTTCTGACTGACGTGTGTGTCACTGAAAAAGGTGGCTGGTTTAAAGGCATTCTCTTCAATTAGGATATGAAATTTCAATCTTTTCTCTCTCTTCTCTGACTTGTTCAGGGCACAAGTTTTCCTTGCATCATTTGTTGTTTTAATCATCCTTTTCTTTTTGCCAAATGTTAACCTTTTCTTCTTGCGCCTTCTTAGCACTTTGTCTGCAGTAGGCTGTTCTGACAGCCCAGTACATTGTGCATTTGATTCATTGGAAGATAAGGCACCAGAATCATGACAGTTCATAGAACAAATCACATTTTCATCTGATATGTTCTTTGAATTGTGTATGGATAAGTTACTCCTCTTTTCTGGTCCATGTCTTGATAAAGTCAACACTTCAGTATCTGTCATCATTGCCTTTATACTGCCACTGATGGTACATGGTATTGGTTCTGTGTTCTGGTTGTCCTGATGACTACCAGCTGATGGAGGATCACCACTCATGGTGGCAGACATCAGTTCTGTGTTCTGATTGTCCTGATCACTACCAGCTGATGGAGGATCACCACTCATGGTGGCAGACATCAGTTCTGTGTTCTGATTGTCCTGATCACTACCAGCTGATGGAGGATCACCACTCATGGTGGCAGACATCAGTTCTGTGTTCTGATTGTCCTGATCACTACCAGCTGATGGAGGATCACCACTCATGGTGGCAGACATCAGTTCTGTGTTCTGATTGTCCTGATCACTACCAGCTGATGGAGGGTCACCACTCATGGTGGCAGACATCACTTCTGTGTTCAAGGTATCATGCTGATAACAAGATGATGGAGGATCAATGCTAGAATTATCCACTGCAATATTACTGTTTTCAAATGATATTTTCTCCTGCAAAAAGATAAACATAGCATATTGATGGCTACTTCAGAGCACAACAGTCAAAATACTCTATTAGCAAATCAAACACATAGAAAAAATAATAACCATAACAATACAAACTATTCTTTAAAAGTGAGCTTTAGCCATTCATTGAAATAAGTATGGATATTAACTGGCAATGTGAAAAATCAGCAATTTCATTTATAAAAGAAATAACTTGAACACTGTCTGCATGTGTTTTAAAAAAATGTGTGGCTATAATCAGGATCAATTTCTGTCAAATCCAAAAAGCATGTTCATGTTCATCACATATGTTTGAAAATGTAATTTTCTGAAAAAAAAATGATATTTTATACTTATCCTGACTCATGCTTATTGCTTGTCTCCCTTTCCTTCCGAATGCTAGTGGAACACTTGAATCCCCTTTTGAAGCTCCCTTCAAAAAAGCGGACGTAAAATCACTCACCAGGAGTCATCTCCCTTCCCAGGTTTTGGGGGGAAAACGGCACCACCTGTCACCACGCACCTCACTCCTCACTCTCTCCATATTTTACAGCCCGACACACGGATTTACTGGGAAATCAGGAGTGCCTTGAGGGGAGGTTGGGAGGGCTCACCTCATGAGTCAGGATAAGTATAAAATATCAATTTTATTCAGAAAATTACATATTTTTCCTTATCCTGACTCATGCTTATTGCTTGTAGAATCCGACGGGATAGGTGGTGGGTCAAGCCACTTCTGGATTCCTAGTGATGAATTTACGTCCTATTTACCCCCATGGGAACTTCTGATGGCACTGCTGCTGCTGTTGATCCATATGTCGAACTTTATCTGGTAAATTTGGGGGGACCACAATTTATCAAACTGTCTTCTGTAGACATACATGTGGATTTCAATAACTCCAACTCTTGATGTTCGTATCAAGTGAAGCAGTGACCCTATCCGTGTACCAGTAATTCCTTACAAGTACAGGGTCTAATATTCATGCTAGTCTGTTCTAGACGTGTACATGGACTATAAGCTCTATTCCTTGGAGTACGAGCGTTGCATGACATGCGATAAAAGGGCGAGATACATCTCAGCGCCTTTGCGGGACCGTCAGTTGTTGTGCTACAACCAGAGGTCCAAATTGGTGAATACCGGAGACGTCCTCGGTAGCGATATCTCTGAGGTAGTGGTTAAGAAATACTGTCTCCGATTTCCAAAAACACCCTTCCATGATCGTGGATATTGAGCAGTTTCCATGTAGAGCGAGTGTAGATGCCAATGCTCTAACTTCATGTGGATTGGAGGCTCGTGGAGGCTCAAGTCCTGCTGCCTTGTAGGATCTAAGGAGGATTGCTCTCATCCAGATTGATATCGTAGTGCGTGAGATCTCTGTGGGTGTCTCCGCCGATATAGGGATGAAAAGGCGCTTGAATTTTCGTCTCCTGGTTTTCGATCTTTGTAAAAAGATTTTCAGTGCTCTGACTGGGCATAAGGATAGGTCCTGGATATCCTGTGGCCCAGGGATTGATGATAATGTTGGGACGTGGGACTGTCTGTCGGGTTGACCTGGCAGTTGATTCTTAGCTATGAAGTCCCATCTCAATCCCAGATGAACAATGTTGTGATGTGCATCAAACGTATATGTTCAAAGTCTAGAGCATGTATTTCTGACATCCGTGCTGCTGTTGCCAAAGCGATCAGGAAGAGAGTTTCCTGTGTAAGAAACTCATAGGGTGTCCTGTCTAGTGGTTCATAAGCATCACTGGTGAGATGCTGTAGAACTACGTTAAGATCCCAAGCTGGTACTTTAAACTTCCTTTGTTGATCTTCCAATTTGAAGGATCGTAGTAAGGCCAGTATTTCTGGTACTTTAGTCAGCTTAACACCTGACTTTCCTGGTGATTACTGAGCTGAGGGCTGCTAGGTATGTAGATAGCGTTGAACCTTTTAATTGTTTTATTTGTCTGAGATGACAAAGATATATGAGTTGCTTTCATTGCTGTGAAGTCTTTTCTCAAAGCATATTTCTCAAAACTCTGCCACTTGTTGTTATACAAGGTGCAGGTAGATTTGCGTAAAGCTAGTGTAACTGCTTTCGCTGCTCTGGCGGAGCATTCTCCTTTCGTCAAGCAAGTCTTGATACACTCCATGTGTGTAGCTGGCACACTGTGGGGTTCCCGTGTGCTTGCTTGGTGTGCGGATGTATCAGTAGGTTCGGCCACTCTGAGAGTTGCAGTTTTGGACTTTCAAATTCTTGTGTGAGAATAGGAACCCACATTGTCGCTGGCCAGTAAGGCGCGATCAAATCAGTTGCAGCTTCCTCATCTGCTTGATATTCTGCACCTGTGGTATTAGAGCTTGAGGAGGAAACGCCTAAGTGTTTAGTCCTACCCCGGAGATGCTTGGAGCATCTGTTGCCCATGCTTGTGGATCGAGAAACGGAGAGACGAATGTTGGTAGCTGTTTGTTGAATTTTGATGCAAACAGGTCTATTAGCGGAAATCTATCGTCTGTATGATGTATCTAAAGGCTTCTGGATGTAACATCCATTCCGTCGGGGATGGTTGTGTTAGACGAGATAGGGCGTCTGCTATCACATTCTTGGCTCCAAGAATGAGGCATGCTCTTATGTAGATGTTCAAGTCATCTATTATGCTGAACAGATGAAAGCTGAGGTCTAGTAGATATCTTGACCTTGTATATCCATGTTTGTTGATGTAGAACGCCACTGTGTCCGTGTGGAACATCAGTTGTGCATTCCTTAGTATGTTGGACCAGTGTAGTAAGGCCTTTACTACTGCTTTCATCTCAAGCATGTTGATATGCAGATTGCTCCTGACTCAACCATTTCCCTGCTGCCACTTCGTTATCAAGGTGAGCTTCCCAGCCTTGAAGTGATGCATCTACGTAGAGATGAGTGTTGCACTCCGCTCTGATAAGTAGATTCCTCCGCAAATATTCGACTTCCGAGTCCACCATAGAAAATATGGTTTCAATCTCTCCGGTATTCCGAAGGAGTCCAGACTATTGAAACGGGCGTTTACGAACACCTGTAGTGGGTGCAATTGTAGTCTTCCTCTGTGAGTCATGTCTTGTGCTGACGTGAGAAGAATGAATAGGTTCTGTCAACTTTCGTAGTGGTAACGGACAGTGTAGTGCTTGAGATACCATGACTTGTATCTAGACCCAATGATCCTCTGAGACTACCTTGTCATTCTGTGGTGAGATGAAACATCTTCCCAGAATCTGCTCATGTTCTATGTTGTAAGTAAGTAGACAGTGGAACCCTTGCCATGTCCGTAAAGGAAGCGAATCAATGTCCGGATCTGGGACTGCCATCGTTGTGAAGTCTATATATAGTAGACTGGCTCCTGAGCAAAATTTGTCAAACGTATGTTGTTGCAATTCGCCGGATAAACAGTCTTCAATCTGCTGACAGGGAAGGCCTCTAAATCCCGTAGGAAAGTCAAATCACACTGTACCCTGCTAACTGGCCTGTAAATGGAGTCCTCCTCCCACGTTGAAATGTTGTTTACAATCTGTAGACAACTTCCTGACACGTGAGCGATGTCCAACTTCTGCGCAGGGCGTTGTCTCTCATGGACCAATCAAAATGCAGCATTTTGATTCCTTTCAGATTCCCGCGATGTGACGTCATCGATGTTGCAGGAAAAAGATCCTTGTAAAATCTTGTGCAGTCGTTGATTTCTTCATCAACACTCGGCCTTGTCCGTAACCTCCCGAAGGTACACGAGTGACCACGTGTATAGAGGGCTGAATGGTAAACCCGCGAAAGATTCTGCCACGTAATACAGATGTAGGTAGACTGTCTCCCTGGCTGCTGTGACTGTTCCTTCATTCCTGAAAATAATGCAGTCGTCATCTTATACAGATGATCAGTTGAAATTCCATACTTGCTTAACGCTGTTACTTGTAGACTGTATTCATCGGTCTCAATGAAGTGCTGTAAAAAAAAACCCTTTGTGTTGAATTCCCTCCTGGATTCTTAAGAAGCATCTTTAATCTTCGTGAATGTGTAGGTTTTCAGCATCGAGGAGTGTTTTTGTGCAGTTAATCCCGCTACCCTCTTCTGATGCAGATATATCTTTTTGAAGATCCTGAATCCTTTCTGGAGATCAGTCTGAAGATCTGCCTGAAGACCTGCCTGAAGATCTGCATGATCGAGATGAGGGTCTCGTTGATAGCTCTTGACCTGGCTAGGCCGAAGAAGGTTCATCTGGTTACTATGTCTAACTGTGGGACAGGGTCGATAGGTGGAATCGTGTGTCTATATCATCATGCTCTGAGGATTGATGTCTTCTAGTGTCTGGAGATCTGTAAGGCGATCTGTATGAAGATCTATGTGGTGACCTGCGTGGTGATCTGTATGGAGACCTGAGTGGTGACCATACGTTCGCGCGAACCTGCGTGTAGGTGAATGGCTCTGTCGAGGGTTGGAGTCTTGTGACGAATCTCTGTGCCTTCGCAAGGGTGTAGATTCTCTTCTCCTTGGTAACGAACCCTTGCGTGCAGGTTCATGACGAATGTCCGCATCTGAGGTAGATGACAATCTGCGTGGGTTTGGCGAACGTCTTGTCTTTGAGGGTTCGCCGAACGTAACTGGTGTAGGCTCTACGTTGGTAGGACTGCCAGACCTTCCTGCGGACGTTGTAGTCATGCTTGCGTGCAGGTTTTCGTGACAAATGTCTGCATCTGAGGCAGATGACGATCTGCGTGGGTTCGGCGAACGTCTTGTCCTTGAGGGTCGCCGAGCGTAACTGGTGTAGGCTCTACGTTGGTAGGACTGCCAGACCTTCGTGCGGATGTTGTAGTCATGCTGGAATCTTCATGTAAGCTTCGCAGGTTGTTGGTTCCCAATGGACGTGATGTGCAGCTCAGTTGTCCTTCACTCGGGTTCGTAGCAGACGTCGTCTTCGTCGCAGCTCTCTCGTGTGCGAACCGTTGTTCCATCAGATCAAACATCTGTTGGGTGAATTGCTGCATAAAGGCGCACGGGTTGAAGCTCTGCGTTGTCTGCTGCAGTGACGACGCATCTGAGATGGATGAGGCTTCTTCCAAAGGGCGTTGTACCTCTCTGGAGCCCAACGTCTGCGTTGATAGGTTGTCCTGCGTGGTCATGGTAGAAGATGCTTTCGTCTTCTTCTTAGTCATGATCTCAGGGATGAGGATGGGCGGCTCATCGTAGACATCTAATTCCTCCAGAGGGATGATCTCAGCTGAAAAAGACCTCGTTTTCTGCGTTGCCCCATGTGGAGACTTCGATGAGGAATTATCAGATGTAGATGACCTCTTCCTCGAAACAGAGTTGTCTACGACAGCAACATCCTCCGTTGACGACCCCGGTAGACCACTGGGATGGTGAATCTGCGCAGACACCAACTGCCGGTCCTCTGCAAGCTTAGCCGGTTTAGACATGTCGTGTAAATCTGCGTCTGGACCTGTCCTTTGCACGTCTAGACAGATAAAATGAATATTTATAAAATGCAATATCAGACAGGTGAAAACACAACTGACAACGAAGGCCAGATGAACATGCGGGCTTGCAATTAGGACATAGGTTATGTGGATCAACAGCAGACAATCTGTACCTGCAACAAGAGCAAGATTTCATCAATTGTAAACAATCTGAACAATCACGTAAAAATGTGATAAAACAGAGAAAATTGAGAAATAATTTCAAACCATATTATAGGTAAATGTTAACTAAAGCCTTATACAGCTAATTTAGAAGAAAAGCCTAAATAATCAAAGGATATATTGCCGTATAGGGGACCAGGCGCTCTCACAACCGTCCACTCAGGCGAATTAGGAGAGAGTGAGGAGCGTGGTGACAGGTGGCGCCCTTTTCCCGCCAAAACCTGGGGAAGGGAGATGACTCCTGGTGAGTGATTTTACGTCCGCTTTTTTTAAGGGAGCTTCAAAAGGGGATTCAAGTGTTCCACTAGCATTCGGAAGGAAAGGGAGACAAGCAATAAGCATGAGTCAGGATAAGGAAAAATTTATCTTTTTCAATTTTAAGAAATAAAGCTGAATACTCTTAAATTCATATGGGTCATACAAGAGAGGTCACAGCCTACATCCTGAACACATGAGGTGGACAGAGTCTGAGGTTGGGGGCATATGAGAGAGGGGTCACAGCCTACATCCTTAACACATGAGGTGGACAGTGTCTGAGGGTGGGGGCATATGAGAGAGAGGTCACAGCCTACATCCTGAACACATGAGGTGGACAGTGTCTGAGGGTGGGGGCATATGAGAGAGAGGTCTCAGCCTACATCCTGGACACATGAGGTGGACAGTGTCTGAGGGTGGGATCATGAGAGAGAGGTCGCAGCCTACAACCTGAACACATGAGGTGGACAGTGTCTGAGGGTGGGGTCACATGATGGCCTTGGGGGTTAGGACATCTCGTAAACATGTCTTTATGAGTTAGTATGATGTTCCACTGTACGTGTGATAAATCAAGGAAAACCCGGAATGTTTCTAAATCATCAGAAAACCAATAATACGAGCATATGTACAATGAAAACTGTTTATTTTGATCCACACTGAATTTCACTAGCTTTCGACATGATTTAAACAGCACAACCGCAGATTTGTTGATAGGCTATTTCCGATGATGTGAAGCTGTGTGATTGCTGGGGACCTTTGGGGTTTTTTTATGGGCGCCACACATTACCCTGTGGTTTAGTCAAACCCTCACTATCGTGAACAGTATCACTGCGAGGGACGACTGTATTAGTGTGATTACAAGCCAAATTAACTCAATTAGGCAATGATTTCATATACTTAGTTTTCTGATGCATAATTTATGTTTTGTTTCTCAATAATAGTGAGCACTGAAAATATGAACCGTTCTGCATTTTTAAACTCTTACCAACAGAGTATCAATTCCATTAATAGTAGGGCAAACAATTCCATTATATCATCAGTTGGCCATACCATGACACTGCTGAAACCTACCTTCTGATCACATGAGACGGACAGTTTCTGTGTGCAGTGCAGACTGGTACGTGGATGCAGCAGTATACAACTGAGTACCTCCACTGTTTTCCCAAGTCCCATCTCATCTGCGAGAAGCCCACCCGGTGGCCAGCTGCTCATTAAAGGTCGTGAGATGACAAGTCTAGAAATGAAGAACTGAATAATAAGTAGGTTATTTGGGCAGAAAGGTTAGATCTTAAAATGTTCCAACATAACTATACCCAACGGGTCCACTATGTTCTCTACAAGAATATCCAGTCCCCATTTGTCCTCCAACAGCTATTCCCAGTTTTGTACTGTTCAGTTCAGTACTACAGATTGCCAGCGACTTGGTCAGATTGTGAGTGGGGGAAAACTGTAAAGCGTTGAGAATATCAGAAATGAGATGATTAATAGAGTAAGTCCTCAGGTATGTAATGAAATCCATAGACAAGAATTACAAAGACTTAACTGGATGCAAAAGTGTGAATTCCCTCACAATTGATGAAAGAGGCACAAAAAGAAAGACATCTAAACTGGTGTAGGGTCTCATGAAAATTAAGATTATATATACATACATGCATGTATATATATATATGTATTTATTGTTATGTGTATGTTACAGGGCGTGTGTTCTGACTTTGACTCCTCGAAACTCATACCCAACCTGTTTGCCATTATTGAACACCCCCGGCTACAAAAACATTGCCCAAAACTTCACATGTTGGGTGGGATATCATCTTTTGGAGTGACACCGTTGTGTATTTTCCCTTGAAATTTTATGAGGGAACAATATGTCGACAGCTTTTAAAATTATCACCTCCTTCCAACGGCCCGAATACTGTATGTAGATAATTGGATTTTTCAGCATGATAATGACCCAAAACACACTGTGGGCTACACAAAACAGTTGTTGTCAGACAAAAATGTTCAAGTTATAGACTGGCCCAGCTACAGCCCAGATCTTTACCCTATTGAGAATGTGTGGGGACTAATGAAGGACAGAATAAACCAAAAAGGACTTAGAAATATAGAGGATATAAAGAAAGAAGTGGTCGAATATTAGGATACGCTGTCACACGATTTCCTACAAACTTTGATCGGTAGTGTACCTAGGCACATTCAGTCATGTATTGCGGGGCAAGGTCTCGCAAAGTACTGAAAATGTAATTTTCTGAATAAAATTGATATTTTATACTTATCCTGACTCATGCTTATTGCTTGTCTCCCTTTCCTTCCGAATGCTAGCGGAACACTTGAATCCCCTTTTGAAGCTCCCTTCAAAAAAGCGGACGTAAAACCACTCACCAGGAGTCATCTCCCTTCCCAGGTTTTGGAGGGAAACGGCGCCACCTGTCTCCCATGCTCTTCACTCTCTCTGTATTTTATAGCCCGACACACTGATTTATTGGGAAATCCAGAGTGCCTTGAGGGGAGGTTGGGAGGGCTTACCTCATGAGCCAGGATAAGTATAAAATATCAATTTTATTCAGAAAATTACATATTTTTCCTTATCCTGACTCATGCTTATTGCTTGTAGAATCCGACGGGATAGGTGGTGGGTCAAGCCACCTCTGGATTCCTTAGTGATGAATTTACGTCCTATTTACCACCCATGGGAACTTATAATGGCACTGCTGTTGATCCATATGTCTAATTATATCTGGTAATTTGGGGGGACCACAATATATCAGACTCTTCTGTAACCGTACATGTGGATTTTAATAACTCCAATTCTTGATGTTCGTATCAAGTGGAGTAATGACCCTATCCGTGTACCAGTAATTCCTTACAAGTACAGGGTCTAATATTCATGGTAGTCTGTTCTAGACGTGTACATGGACTAAAAGCTCTATTCCTTGGAGTACGAGCGTTGCATGACATGCGGTAAAAGGGCGAGATACATCTCAGTGCCTTTGAGGGACCGTCAGCTGTTGAGCTACAACCAGAGGTCCAAACTGGTGGATACCGGAGACGTCCTCGGTAGCAATGTCTCTGAGGTAGTGGTTAGCAAACACTGTCTCCGATATCCAAAAACACCCTTCCATGATCGTGGACATTGAGCAGTTTCCATGTAGAGCGAGTGTAGATGCCAATGCTCTAACTTCGTGCGGATTGGAAGCTCGAGGAGGCTCGAGTCCTGCTGCCTTGTAGGCTCGTAGTATAATTGCTCTCATCCAAACTGATATCGTAGTACGTGAGATCTCTGTGGGTGTCTCCGACGATATGGGGATGAAAAGGCGTTTAAATTTTCGTCTCCTGGTTTTAGACTTTTGTAGATATATTTTCAGTGCTCTGACTGGACATAAGAATAAGTCTTGTATATCCTGTGGACCAAGGATTGTAGATAATGCTGGGATGTGGAATTGTCTGTCGGGTTGACCTGGCAGTTGATTCTTAGCTATGAAATCCCATCTCAATCCTAGGTGAACTATGTTGTGACGTGTGTCAAAACATATTCGTTCGAAGTCCAGCGCATGTATTTCTGACATCCTCGCCGCTGTTGCCAAGGCGATCAGAAATAGCGTTTTCTGTGTAAGAAATTCGTAAGACGTTCTTTCTAGTGGTTCGTACACATCACTGGTGAGATGTCGTAACACCACGTTGAGATCCCAAGCCGGCGCTTTAAATTTCCTTTGTTGGTCTTCCAGTTTAAAAGAGCGTAGCAAGGCCAGTAACTCTGGCACTTTCGACAGTTTCACGCCTGACTTCATAGTGATAACTGAGCTGAGAGCCGCTAGGTATGTAGATAATGTCGAACCTTTTAATTTCTTCATTTGTCTGAGATGACAAAGATATTCCGCCACTTGAGGATGTGTTGCTTTCATTGCTGTGAAACCTTTCCTCGATGCATATTTCTCAAAGCTTTGCCACTTGTCGTCATACAAGTTACAAGTAGATCTGCGTAAAGCTAGTGTAACTGATTTCGCTGCTCTGGCGGAATATCCTCTTTTCGACAAGCAATTCATGATACGTTCCATACGTGTAGGTGGAATAATCTGGGATACTTGTGAACTTGCTTGGTGTGAGGATGAATTAGTAGGTTCGACCAAACTGGAAGTTGTATTGTTGGTTTTCCGAGTTCTTGTAAGAGAACGGGAAGCCACGTTCTTGCCAGCCAGTAAGGCGCGACCAAAATCAGTTGTAGATTGTTTGTCTGTCTGATTTTCTGTAATACCTGCGGTATTAACGCTGGCGGAGGGAACGCATACGCGTTTAGTCCTTCCCATGGGATGCTTAGAGCGTCTGTCGCCCATGCTTGCGGATCGGGAATTGGAGAGACGAATGTTGCCAGTTGATTGTTGAATCTTGTGGCGAATAGGTCTACGAGTGGAGATCCTATCGTCTGTATGATGCATCTGAACGCTTGTGGATGTAACATCCATTCTGTTGGGGATGGTTGATGTGGTCGAGATAGCGCATCTACTATTACATTCCTGGCTCCCGGAATGTGACATGCTTTCACATAAATGTTCAGATTGTCGATTATGTTGAATAGTTGAAAGCTGAGGTCTAGAAGATTCCAAGATTTTTTTGATCCTTGTTTGTTTATGTAGAACGCCACTGTTGAGTTGTCCGTATGGATCATCAATTTTGCGTTTCTTAGTATGTTGGACCAATGTAGTAGGGCATTTACTACTGCTTTCATCTCGAGCATGTTGATATGCAGATTCATTTCTTGTTTCGACCATTTCCCGGCAGCCACTTCGTTGTCGAGGTGTGCTCCCCATCCTTGCAGTGATGCATCTACGTAGAGGTGGACGTTACACTCCGGCTCTATTAAGTAATTTCCGCCGCAAACATTCGACTTCTGAGTCCACCATAGTAGGTATGGTTTGAGCCTGTCTTGTATTTCGAAGGGATCCAGACTGTGTAAGTGGGCGTTCACAAATCTCTGTAGTGGACGCAGTTGTAGTCTCCCTCTGTGCGTGATGTCTTGAGCTGACGTGAGGAGACCTAATAGGCTCTGCCATTCTCGTAGTGGTAACGGAGAGAGTAGAACTTGAGAGATCATTTGTTGAATCTTGATCCAACGATCCTCTGGAACGACAATGCGATTCTTCATTGTTATAAGCCGTATTCCTAGGAATTGTAAGTCCTGAGTAGGCTCTAGTTCCGATTTGAGGAGATTTACTAGCCATCCTAGTTGAGTGAGAAGTCTGATGGTGAAGTTCAATTGCAGTCTGAGTTGACTGGGATCTTGCTGAGCTTGAATCACGTTGTCTAGGTAGAACGCACTGCATAGACCTCGACGATGTAGATATATACTGATGGGCTTTGTCACTCGAGTAAACAACCAGGGGGCCGACAATATTCCAAATGGCAGGACCTTCCATTGGAAATGACGACCGTTGAACAGGAATCGCAGATATTTCCTTGACTCCGGATGGATCGGGATGTGTGAGTATGCATCTTGTAAATCTATGCTGGCGAGATAGTCTAGCGGATGTATGAGATGACGTAGTTGTGGTAGATGTATCATCTTGAACTTTGCGGGTGGTAGGAGGTAATCTTTGTTGAATTTCCTCATGTTGTAAATGAGTCAGAACTTTTCTTTTGAATTTTTCTTTGGTACCAGAAAAATTGGGGAGTAAAAACCTGGTGTGACCCAGTGTTGTTTTATCTCTTCTATTGCCTCTTTCTCTAGTAGAGATGTGACGGCTTCTAGTAGATTTCCCTCGGTTGATTGTTACTGGTGGTACTGCTTGTAGCTGTATCCTGTAACCTTTGCGTAGAATCTGAGATACGAAGTCGTCTTGAAGAATTCCCCAATTCTTCCAGTAGAGTTGCAGACGTCCACCCACTTGTGAAGGTTGTACTGGGACGGCTGGGGGTGGGAGACTCCAGTCGTTCCGAACCTGTATTTCATCGTCTGGAACTTCTGGCGCCTCGAAAGGGCCGACCTCTTCCGTAGTTACCTCTTGGAGCTGCGGATGGGCGACGAAAAGAATCCTTATTCCCTTTAGCGTTGGCTGATTTCTTATCCCTTGCTCTCTGGATGCCTGCAAACTTCGATTAGGCCGGAATAACGTTGGGAGGTCTGACGTATTACACTGGCCAGTGTATCGATAGACTTGATCATCATCACTTCTCGGGAATCTTAAGCGACTTCCTTGGCGACTTCATCAATTTCTCCTGCAAAAATGGATGGTGCTGACCAAG